GAATTCTACCAAGCATTCAAAGAAGAACTAATACCAATCCTACTTAAACTATTCCAAAAAATCAAGGAGGACAGGATACTCCTGAATTCATTCTACAAGGGTTATATCACCGTGATACCAAAACCAGACAAAGACACAACAAGAAAACCATAGGACAATATTTCTGATGACCATAGATGCCAAATCCTCAACAAAAAATTGAAGTCAACAACACATTATTCATCATGATCAAGTGGGATTTATCCTAGGCATGCCAGTATGGTTCAACATATGCAAATCAATAGTGATTCATCATATCAACAGAACAAAGGAAAACAATCAAATCATTTCAACTGATGCTGAAAAAGCATTTAGTAAGATTCAACATCCCTTCATTATAAAAACTCTCAACAAACTGGGTATAGAAGGAATTTACTTCAACACAATAAAAGCAATGTATGACAGATCCACAGCTTTTATCATACTGAATAAGGAAAAACTGAAAGCCTTTCCTCTAAGAGCTGGGAGAAGACGAGTGCCCACTTTTACCACTGTTATTCGACAGAGTACCGGAAATTCTAGCTAGAACAATAAGAGAAAGAAACAAAGGGCATCCGAATTGGAAAGGAAGACGTTAAATTATTCTTGTTTGCAGACTATATGATCTTATATCTAGAGAAACCTAAAGATTCCACCCAAAAACTGTTATAACTGATAAACAATTCAGTAAAATTGCAAGATACGAAATCAACATACAAAAATCACTAGCATTTCTATCTGCCAACAGTAAACAATCTGAAAAAGAAACCAACAAAGTAATCTCATTTATAATAGCTACAAATAAAATAAAATACTTAGGAATAAACTTAACTAAAGAAGTGAAAGATCTCTATAATGAAAACTATGGAACCGCGAAAGACCCAGAATAGCCAAAACCATCCTGAGCAAAAAGAATAAAACTGGAGGAATCAAATTACCTGACTTCAAATTACATGACGGAGCTATTGTAACCAAAACAGGATGGCACTAAAATAAAAACAAACCCATAGACCAATGGAACAGAATAGAGAACCCAGAAATAAATCCACACATCTATAGAGAACTTATTTTTGACAAAGGTGCCAAACATATACAGCGGAGAAAGGACAGTTTCTTCAATAAAATGGTGCTGGGAAAACTGGATATCCATATGAAGAAGAATGAAACTAGACCTTTATCTCTTGCCCTGTACAAAAATAAAATAAAAATGGATTAAAGACTTAAATCTAAGACCAGAAACTATGAAACTACTAAAAGAAAACATTGGGGAAATGCTTCAGGACACTAGTCTAGACAAGGACTTCTTGAGTAATACACCAAAGCACAGGCAACCAAAACAAAATTGGACAAATGGCATCACGTCAAGCTAAAAAGCTTCTGTATAGCAAAGGGAACAGTCAACAAAGTGAAGAGACAACCCACAGAATGAGAGAAAATATTAGCAAACTATTCATCTGACAAGGGATTAATAGCTAGAACATATAAAAAGCTCCAAGAAGTCAATAGGAAAAAATCAAATAATCTGATGAAAAAATGGGCAAAAGATTTGAACAGACATTTCGCAAAAGAAGACATACAAACAACCAACAGATATATGAAAATATGCTCAATATCTGTGGTCCCCAGCCCCTGGGCTGTGGCCTGGTACCGGTCCATGGTCTGTTAGGCCATGGCTATGCATCACTGCCTAAGCTCCACACCCACCCCTACAACACCCCCCACCCAGGTCTGTGGAAAAACTGTCTTCCATGAAACCAGTCTCTGGTGCCAAAAAGGTTTGGGACCTCTGCAACATCATTAGTCATCAGAGAAATGCAAATCAAAACCACATGAGATATCATCTCCCCCCAGTTAAAATGGCTTTTATCCAAAAGACAGGCAGTAACAAATGCTGGCAAGGATGTGGGAAAGAGGAACACTTGTACACCGTTTTGGGAATGTAAATTAGTGCAACCACTATGCAGAACAGCATGGAGGCTCCTCAAAAAACTGAAAATAGAACTACCACATAACCCAGGAATCCCACTGCTGAGTATATATCCAAAGGATGGGAAATCAGTATATTGAAAAGATCTCTGTACTCCCATGTTTATTGCAGCACTATTCACAACAGCCATGATTTGGAATCAACCTAAGTGTCCATGAACAGATAAATGAATAAAGAAATTGTGGTACATATACACAATGGAATATTATATAGCCACAAAAAGAATGAAATCCTGCCATTTGCAACAACATGGATGAAACTGGGGAACATTATTAAGTGAAATAAGCCAAGCACAGAAAGACAAATCTCTCACGTTCTCACTCACATATGGAAGCTAAATCTTAAGAACAATTGATATCGTGGAGACAGAGAGTAAACTGGGAATGGTAGACAGAGATAAGCTGGGAATGGTAGCAGGGAGTGGGGAATAAAGTGAGGCTGGTTAATGGGTGCAAAAATATGGTTAGATAATTAGATAGAATGAACAATATTTGATAGCACAACAAAGTGACTATAATCAAACATAAGTTAGGGTATACTTTAAAATAACTAAAAGATTGGAATTTGAATGTTCCTAACACAAAGAAATGTTAAATGCCCTGAGGAGATGGATATCCCAATTACCCTGTTTTAATTCGTATTGTATGCCTGTATCAAAACATGACATGTACCCTATAAAGATATACAACTATTATATACTCATAATAAAAATTTTGAAAAAAATAAAAATTAAAAAAAGAAAATGATACCAGATGGAAATCTGAATCTATCCAAAGAAATTATGATCACTGGAAGTGGTAAATATGTAAGTAAATATAGAATACTATTTTTCCTTATTTTGAAAATATTTTTCAAAGATAACTGTTGAAATAAAAATAATAACAGTATGTTGTGGGATTTATACCATATGTAGAAGGAAAATGTATGACAATAATGTCCCCAAGTCTGGGAGGGGAGGCATAAAAGTATAACATTGCAAATGTAAGGTTGTTATATTTCAATGAAATGATATGTTACTTCAAGTTACATTGTGGTAAATTAAATATATATCCTATAGGTCCTAAAGCAATTGCTTAAAAAAAAAATCAATGAATATTTTAAATCAGTGGTATAGTCAATAAGCAAATGAGATAAAATTGAGTCATAAAAAATACTCATAAAAAATCTCATAAAATACTCAAAAAATACTCATTTACTCAAAAATGAGGAATAAAAGAGGAACTAAGGACAGATGTGACAAATAGAAAATAGTAAGATGATAAATTTAAACCCAACCATATCGATAATTATATTATGTATAAATAGACTAAAAGTCCTAATCAAAAGGCAGAGGTTGTCAAATTGGATGAAAATCAGACCGGATAAAAAGATCCAGCTATATGCTGCCTACAAGAAAGCCACTTAAAATACAAAGTTGTTTCTGCCCATCTCTGAAGACTGCACCGGCTGTAACAGGCTGCACCTCTAGCTCTTACTTCTCTTTTCAGCCTCAAAAAAGCTTTCACCTCTGGTGACAATGGATTTTACCAAAAAGTAATGCCAAATCTCCATGTATTCTCTACAGTGGATATCAAAATGCCACAGTTTGTCCCTAGTTTCTGGATTCTTCAGTTCTCAGAATGACCAACCAACATTTTCAGGAAGCATTTTAACTTAATGGGCTTATCAAATATCTTCTTATGCATCCTAATGTGAATAACCAGAAACTACAAATTTTGCCATGAATCTGATAATTCTTTCCTTCTCTGTTCCAACTAAAAGACCCACATTATTAATCAATTCATTAATTCATTCAACACATAGTTAACACTTATAGCCTCGTCACTATGTCAGATACATGGTATACACTGGTGAAACAAACTGGTATAGTTTCTGTACACACAGAACTTAAACTATTATCTAGTAAAGGAGATAGATGTAAACAAATCAAAATATAATTACATGTTGTGTTAAGAGTTGTAATGGAAACAAAGAGGAAATATTAAGAGGCAGGTGTTAAGTAGATAATGTGGCCAAAGGAGTCAATAACATTGAGAGATAACATTTAGACTAAGACCTGAATATGAAGTAGTCCCAAAAAGAACAGAGAAAAGAGTTTCCAAGCCCAGGAACAGCATATGTAAGAGCCCAAAACAGGAAAAACCTGTGTTTCAGGTACTTGAAGGATAAGAAGAGCCACCTGAGATGAAGTTAGAGGGAAACTGGAGCCAGATCATGCAGGACCACAGTAAGAAGTTTTCATTTCCTCTAGGTAGAATGGAAATCGTTAACACATATAAACAGAAGAGTGATGTGCATGACTTAGTCCACATTTTAAGACACTCTCTCTCTTGCAAGTTTGTGGAGAATGGATTATAGTGGGACAGGAATAGAGAGAGGGAAGGAACCTGGCAGTTTATACATGCGCTGTGAGGGAGAGAGAGGAATCAACGGTGATTCCACCTGGGTGCGTAAGACAGGACAGGGAGACCCGGAGGGGTTACAAATTTGGGCGTGGGAGTCGAGGTAAGTTTGAAAAGTTTGAGAGACATCAGAGCTGGCCCTTGCTCGTGAGCCCAAATCAACAGAAAAGCTGGAGAAGTGGGCCTTGCAGCAGTCTCTCAAAGAGTCCCGATCAGAAATTAGATCTCCTGACTAGAGGATGCGTATCTCATGATGTCTAGTACATCTCTAAGTCTAAACGTGGCTTTCCCCTCTGTGTTGCTCTGTCCTCTCTCTGCTCAGGATTGCTCTGAGTGACAGCCTGACTGAACTCCAGGTTGCCCACTCAAAACCCTACCCTCCCTTGCACCAGCTTAATAACACACGCAGCAACCCAGCTTATAAGAGAGAGACAATCAGAAGCCTTTTGCAAAATGAAGACTGGGTCTAGCAGCCTATCCAGTCCTATCGTGCAAAGGAGACATTAAAAGACAAGATCAGGTCATCTTCAATTTGAAAGATCTACAATTGTCACCATAATAGTAGTGGTGCCAAACATTTGTTGTGCCAAAAGGACAGAGGAGCCTGCTGACCATGACAAGACCCCACTTTGGACACTGTATTCAGCAAACCTGGAGGGTACCTGGGTCATGGGAGACAAAGAAGGCTTCAGAGCCCAGGAGGGTGAGCCCATGTCCCAAAAGCACCCGCAAAACTGTGAGAAC